TAAACGGCGCTGTGGTAACAAACAACCCCCAAATCTGTGTGGCTTACAACCAGAAAGCATCAGTTCTCTCTCACACTCTTTGTTCATCCCAGGCTGACCGATGTTCTCCTCTGCATCATATCAGTTGGATGGGTCCCGGACTAATGAGCAGTCATAGGGCCAAGCAGCAGGGAGGGGGAAGAACAGAAACACACTGGCTCTTAATCGGCCCAGAAGCGACACATACCATTTCCCCTTTCACTGTGCTGTCCAAGAGGAGTCCTGTGATGGTCAAGACTGGCTCCAGAGGGTAGAGAGTCGATCTCCTCCTGCGCCCAGGAAGACAAGTACGTTGTGAGCTTCCTTCAGGAAGAAGCCCTACTGTCTTCCACCCCGCGTTCTGAGAAAACAAGGAGCTTGTATTTTCAAGCTACAGGACACAATTAACCTGTGACACCGTTCTAATTTTTAGGCAAAGCCTCTTATTCGTGAATCATCTAAGATTCCTTTTTTCTGCAAAATGAATGATTATGCCAAATGGTTGTTGATTTAAGAAAACACAGGGTTTATTAGCCAATCTGACCATCAACTCTCCCTGCAGTATGTCCCTAACTCATAAGTTCACGGAGGAGTGGGGCTGTGTGTGCCTGCGCTTGGGACGCTGGGACATGGACAGGCATGACGGGCTTAAGGTCAAGCTTAGTCAATGCTTGTAAGTTTCTATTTGCAAGGTTAATGATGAAGCACCTAATTTAGCAGCACTGAAAATGGTTATAAATTTGTTAGTCCGGTCGCATCTGTTTTAGATCGGCCTTCGAATCACAGACTACTCACACTGCCTCCCCAGGCCTCCTCTCCTTTGGATTCCTACCACCATGCTAATCCACATGAACACTGAGCGGAGCCTCCATTCATTCTGGCTTCTAGTCCCAGTTCTGCTATTAACTGACTGCATTGCTCTGGGAAAGCTGTTCTACCTCTCCAGGGCTTATCTCTAAAATGAGGGAGCCGGCTGGCAGCGTTCCTTCCAGCTATAACTGCTTACGGTTCTAAGTCAGCTGTGAAGCCAGAGAGAGAGCCTTTGTATATTTCCCCCTTTTTCCCTGAGTTGATCAGCAACTGAAAGAGCTATCTCAGCGAATGCTGGGCCTCCTAACATACAACAGAATGCCTTTGAAGGTTACTCATATTTCAGCACCTCTCAATCGATCATTTCCTCAGGCTGCCTCCTCAGCTTTGGGGTCCAGAACCGCCGCAATGAAGTGCAATTTACGTGCATGGTGTTTCAATACCTTGTTCCTGACTTAAAACGGAGAAGGATAAGCACAACAGTTGAAACCTGTTCCTCCAATTGTATCAGCTACGGTTTTAAGAGGTTTTGCTGCGGTTGGTGTTGTTGCTGATCTTCCGCAGAGGCTAAGAAAGTAACTGTTTATGACTTTTAATTGTTTATTCTTCTAAACACTTTCTACAGCCCCACACGTAATAATTCGTAGATTCAAACATTTTGGAGCACTTGTCTAAAGAATAGAGTCGTGCTCACTTATGCGGTTTTGTTGACATGAGGTCATGGAGGAAATCACTTTTGTAGAAGAAAAATGCTTTTTGGGTGCCCAACTATAAATAGCTTTCTAAAAAGTGGCTTCAGGGACAAGCTAATGTTTTGCTTGGAAATGTCTTCAACGCCTTGAAAATGGTTGCTCTCAGATGTACAGCCGTTCCTGAATTTTCTGAGTAACTCGGAAACTCTAAATACCTGAGAGTCACGTACATTTTGATTTGAGCCAGGGCGACCGAGTCACCTTGAGCAAGTCACATCAGCTCGCCGAGCCTCAGTTCCTTTGTCAACAAACTGGAAAGAATATCTCCCTAACAAATCACTGCAAATAGTAAAGACATTGACATAAGGAAAGCCCAGAGTATAGAAAGGATACACGACACATGACCACTGTCTTCATTCACAGAAAACCGTCAGGGTAAGATTCGTAGCGTGAGGTGAGGTTTGCATGTTGCACGCGGCCACCCATTTCAAGCATGTATCAAAATATGAGGTCAGACATTAAACCAGCAGGAAAGGAAAAAGGATACCTTGATTTAGGCAAATAGATCTCATGAGTCGAGACACCCATATCTTTGGATTTTGTCACAATCGAACGGGAGGGTTTTGACCTTCCTTTCGATCACTGTGTTAGTCCTATTCATTTTTTATTTACTTTATTCTCTGACTTACTGGTTCCATAGTATACACAGGGCTATAGTACATGGCTAGACCAGACAAGGAAGGGATGGTCCACATGGAAAATAATGCATACATAACTCCTTTTGCAACTTTTATAAACAACTTCAGCGATTCATTCTCAAGGATCAACCATTTCATCATCGTCAAATGATGAATCCGAGAAAGGTTCGTCTAGTCACCTGTTATATCTGAATTAGGCCATAAATCATCTTGTGCCTTCAGTGTTTTTTCAGTAGGAACCCAGAGAAGACAATGAACAAAATAAAATTTCACGCTAGCAAAGTTCTATCTATACCTCGATTTAAGATCCAAAAAAAAAAAAAAAAAAAATTCTTTCCTAATCTCCATCGGTCATGTTTCATATTTATCCTTATTCCATGTCTTTAGTTCCTTCCTTAAATACCTTTAGAACTACTGCCACCATTTTCTGAGCCAAAGAACCAGACCACTTCTCCAGATTTTATGTCGTTTTACAAAGCTGAACTCAGAGCTTTATTTCCAAGTCACTCTTTATTCTCATATCTTAAGATGTCTTAGTTGGGGCACCTGGGTGGTGGGGTGACTGGGTTTCTCAGTTGGTTAAGCAACCAACTCTTGGTTTCAGCTCAGGTCATGATCTCACAGTTTCGTGGGTTCAAGCCCTGCATTGGGCTCCACACTGAAGTGTGTGCCTGCTTGGGATTCTTTCTCTCCCTCTCTCTCTCTCTCTCTCTGCCCCTCCCCGACTTGTGTTGTCTCTGTCTCTCTCAAATAAATAAATAAACTTAAAAACAAAGATTTCTTACTTCAGTACAGTCACTCCTGCTTGCCTTTTTTTTTTTTTTTCTCTCCTCTTCCCAAATTCAGTTTTGTTTTCTCAGGCCCCAACCACAGAATCTTTGTGCTGGAAGAGATCTCACATATTTTATAACCTGCTTCCTATGCATGAGGAAACCAGTGCCCTGAGAAATTACATGAACTGTACTTTCAAGAGCCCAATCCTTTTTAGCAAGAACCAAATTCGACTTGTCTTCTTTCCGGCAAAATAGAAAAAGTATGAAAAAACTACTTAACTTTAAGTAGAAGAGGTAGTTTTGATCCTTTAAAGTATTTCCTCATTCCGAGGGTGCCTGGGTGGCCCAGTTGATTAAGCTTCCAACTTCAGCTCAGGTCATGATCTCGCAGTTTGTGAGTTCAAGCCCCGCGTCGGGCTCTGTGCTGACCGCTCAGAGCCTGGAGCCTGCTTCCGATTCTGTGTCTCCCTCTCTCTCTGCCCCACCCCTGCTTGTTCTCTCTCTCTCTCTCTCTTTCTCAAAAATAAATAATACATTTTAAAATTTTTTAACAAAAAATAAACTTAAAAGAAAATAAAATAAAATAAAATAAAATAAAATAAAAATAAAGCATTTCCTCATTCATGAAATTTGGAGGTTTGAGTTGATGAGCAGCATGGAAGGGAATCAGGGAAAATGAAATACATGGCATATAAATTTGCACGTTAAACATCTATGGTTTCCATATAATGTCGTCAATTAATCTATCTAACGGGAAGGGGAGATATCTGACGGACTTATTTCTTTTTGCCAGAGCACCACCTTACAGCTGTGGTCTTGTGGTAATATGGCTGGTACAATTAGAAACCAAAATTAGAAACCAAGCAACCACAAGAGGAAAAGCCTCTGGAACAACTCTAGGCTGACCCAGAATCTCCAGCCAAGGACACTGCAGGAACCCACACTTTGCTGCACATATGGTCCCCAGCCTGCCACGAACTCTCTGAACAGGGGGGCAATCCCCACATACCTCACATGCATACCTGGAAACCTTCATGCTCATTTAACTGAGACTTTTCAACAAATCTCAGAGCAAAAGAAAACTAGATAACCAGTTACTTAACTCAGGGCCATAACTCAACTCATCTTTGGGTGTCATCAACAATTCCACTGCCTGAGACACCAGGAGAGAAATACCCCAGTGTTTTTCATCAGAACCACTGATATGAGCTTCCCTGACATTGAACTATGGGCTTTATTGTTATTTTAAAGAAAAATTATTGTCAAACGCACGGATTTTAAAACATCTGTTTTCATTCTGAATTCCTTTTTCCCAAAGATGTTTTATCAGTAAAAAGTGCCATCGAAGACGCAGGAATTCAAAAACATTCGCAAACTCATACATGAAAAATAAACGAGTTGTCGAAGTCATGGATGTGGGGCTGAAGGAGACGGGGTTGGAAACCAGTTCTCCTGGTGATGCAGCCTTAGGAATGGCAAAGGTGAAAAAGGACCCACTGAATTTTTCTCTTTCTCCCCAGTCATGTAGTGACATAAGGATAAGTTCCAAGGTTCACCACCGGTTTAAAATTATTTCATTATGACTCTGGGTTGTCTGAGATATACATCATTATCTCCCAGGGAGCCACAGTGAATTAGAGAAATACTTTGGAACCCTGGACTCCGGAATTCCAGCCCCTCACCCACCAATGACACTCAGCGGGGTCAATAATACTTGCCTTCTAAAAACAATACAGGAACGTGATACTACCCCTTTATTAAAACGGCCTTTTGAGCTGGTCTGTTTATGTGAATTAAAAACAACAACAACAACAACATTGTGTTGGTGAGTTATGTTACAATTAGTGACATTTTAGGAAAGAAAGCATTCAGGACGTGTATTTTATGGCCACGTCGCCCGGAATATTATTGTGAGTGTCTGATTTATCAACCATCGGCTCGAGAGATGATAGTCTTCTTCCTTATTTTTAGGAGCGTTGGGGTGCAGACTAAAGCAGTTACTATGCGGCCAGAGACTGAGTGATATTTTTATTATATTGCTTCCCCTTGCAGCCAAATAATCTTGAGTAAAAAGGGGGGACAGGGTAATGGTAAGAGAACAAGCTCACTGCCAAACATAGAGCCTTCTCTTCATAGACAGTTTCTCAGTGTGAAGGGGCATTTCCTAATGTGACTGGCCGTCGAGTCCGCCGAAATCACGATTCCCCTGTAATTACAAAAGATACATCCTGTGGCTTTCAAACCACAACATGATCACGTGGAACAGAGGAACAAAGAGACCTGGGGGCTAGAAGCACGTGAAATCTTGGCTTTTTCTTCATCACAGCAATTAAGTAGCCACTAAGCACCACCCTGACGGCCCATGATTTTGACTCAAACCCTGGTGACATATGGGTTCGAAGGATGCCACTGGAATCCACCTTCGGCCTGTTGCTTATCATGTGTCTCTGACGGTGCGTTTTAGGCATAGAGCTCCATGACCAGGGACGGACGGGCTCCGGGCTCCGGGCTCTGCCTGCCCGGATCCTAACGAACTTCCACGAGCCAGGGCTGGCTTGAGAGAGTGTCATTTGGTACCCTTGCAAAGGGATAGGAGGCAAAGGCTATTTTAAGAACGGTATGGTTTGGGGTGATCTCTGTGAAGTTTATGAGTAGTCAGGGAAGAGAACATAAAACTTGCTGGACACATGTAATTAAAATACAGGGTAACTAAATTCATGTGTAAGTAATAGGAGAGCACAGCGGAGCCAGGGGATCGTAATAAGCATCCTGGTTGAAGTGAAAAGCAATTTGTGGTGGGGCTTTCAAATTCCTACTTTAGTGGACAGATTTGGAAAGCTCACCAATAGTCTTCCTGGCTGGGTAGGTTTACGTCCATGGGCCTTTCATTTAAAAAATAAAAAAAAAAAAAAAAAACTCTTAAAAATAGCAGTAGGGGGGGGGGGGGGGGTTGGGGGGGGGGGGGGGGGGTTGTTTTCCCGCAGGAGAAATCACAGCTTCATAAATGCATCCATTTCTGGGGAGCAAAAAGCAGGCTTCAACAGCGATCAGCATGCCTTTGCCCCATCCGCGGTGAGGCGGCGAAGTTCCTGGGCCCTACACTGCGTCGTCTCCCACACGTCCCCTGGGCCTCTCAATTTCCAAAGCCTATTCTACATGCAGATTTACAAACTGGAGACAGTGGAAGGGGGGAGGGGACTTTACAAAAACCACAGATGTTACTTACTATCCTCAAGTTTGCAGGGTCGTGGACCAAACACGGGTCTGATGTGCCGAATCACCCCCTTTATCCTGGGGCAGGGCGGTATCAGAAAACACCCATTCCTTCCGTCCGGAAGCGGCCGTCGGGCTGGCCCCCCTGCCAACCGTGTGATGTGGTACGCTTCGTGAACAAGCCCTAGTGCCACGTAGACTGGTTGCCCGTTGTCTCCAATAAGCCCTCTGAAGTATGGGGCTGGCTGGGTGGCTCGGTCGGTTCTAAGGGTCGGACCCTTGGTTTCAGCTCAGGTCGTGACCTCACAGGTCTGTGGTTTCCAGCCCCAATTCGGGCTCTGCGCCCGGCAGCCCAGAGCCCGCTTGGGATTCCCTCTCTTCCTCTCTCTCTGCCCCTTCCCCCCTCCCACGGTCTCTGTCTCTCTCAAAAATAAATAAATCAACTTAAAAAAATAATTAAAAAAAAAAAACATCTAAAAATGAAACAGATCCCAAACAGCCACAGACGAAATTTACAAAGCCCTTGGACATGGCGGGAGAGAGTAAGGTGGGAACAGAATATGAAAGAACAGAGGATCCTCCGCGCGGTTTCACATGATAAGTGGTCCGTAAAAACCATTATCATGGACAAGAAAAAAGCCCCAGTCGTGGGCCACGGACCCCAGACTTTCAATGTCTAAACCATACATGTATATTTTGGGGAGACCGATCTCCCTTCTTCTTAAGAGAACTGTTAGCTTAAACCATAAACTGTGCCAAATAGCAGAACATAAGAGCGTGAAGGGTCTCACACTTCATCCCGGCTGATCGCATCATTTCGCCTCCTGGGAAGAAACATGGAAAGTCGCAGAGCAACTTTCAAAAGTACAGACCACTCCTCCGCGCTGGAAGTTGAGTATCAGGGTCCAAAGAAGAGCGTGAGTTCTGGATCATACAGAGAGATCTGGTGTCAGATCCCGGGTCTGTCACTTCCTGTCCCTTTACTCTCTCCAAGTCCCTGTTTCTGTACCCTTCGGGTCAGGATAACGAGATCGAGGTCAGCCAAGGCAGCTCGGCCATTAACTGTGGCATCAGCTTCTGCCAAAACAGCATTAATAAGAAGAAATATGTTTGAAGTGGGTAAGACGAGAAGATGGCAGGGGGAAAAGAATAATAGCTTTTAGTGGATTGGCAGAGAAAGAAAAAAAAATGAAGTGTTCTGCTGCTGAAGTTTTCCCCAGAGCCCCGGGGTTTCTCAAGCCCGTCTTCCAAGACCACAGGGGCAAAGAGAAGCTGGAAAGGCGGGATTCCAGGACCTCCCACCCCACACCTAGTCCATTCTCAGCCGGAGACTTTCCCCTTTACATACTGAGCTTCTGGGTTACCCTGTTAAAGAAGATACAGAGAGACGTAAGTGTGTATCACCCCCCCACCCACCCACCACTACACCCCAATTCCTTCTAGAAGGTACAGCGCACACAGAACTGAATGTCCAAAGCTGGGCAGCCTCAGATAAGCCACCTCCCATTTCTGCACCTCACCTCCAAGAGGAAAGGTTTGGACCGACCACCCCCTCACCGCTTCCCCCTAATGCAGAGCCCCCTGCTTAATGGGAACAAGAGCTCCCTTTCCCTTGCAGATAGAGAGCAGCCACTGTCAGTGTCCCCCCACCCCCCCCCCCCCCCCCCCCGCGAATCCCCATCCCCCTGCACATGCAAGAGACTTAGACACAGCCACACTGCTGCTGACTCCTCCATGGCTTGCGAGGTTTTTCAGGCAGCCTCTCTTTCCCCTGAGGGCTCTGCAGAAGGGGAGGGAGGGAAGTCCAAAAGGAGCCAGGTATTTCTCCTCGCTCTACCTCGCACTCGTGCCCCAGACACAGTCCTGGCAAGGAGAGAAGGCATGGGGCCCGCTCCGCCTGTGGGGGAGGCAGAGTGGCTTTGCGCAACCCCGAGGACCATGGCCATGAACTGCCGGCCGCCCGTGTTGGTAGAACGCAGACACTTGAATAATGTTGTGCACTTTATAGCTTCTTTTATGCTAACAGGCCTAGGGGTAGCAAAAGAGGGCAATGTACCGTGGTCTGCTAAAAGCCTGGCCATTTGATTGCTTCATAATTTCTCCATTCGTCTCATTGGGAGTGCGCATTCGTGCAACCAACCTGCCCGTCCTCCCTTAACAAGCTCTCTGGTACAGACCGGAACAATCCCCCATAATGTAAACAGCCTTCTCCTGCGGCAGAGAAAGCAAGCACACAACACGTTTTTAACACTCACAGATGTAATTGCTTTGGACTTTCCACTCGTGGTATTGCATTCCTCCGTTCCCAGGACTCCTCATCAACGGATATCTTTTAAAACATGCTTTCCCCTATTGTTTCCTCAAAACCATTGCATGCGCATTCTCTGCACACCTCCTCTGCCTGAGGCTCCACACCAGAGGATGTGGTCTGTAAGACTGGGGCTTTGTTGGGGCACCTGGGTGGCTCAGTGGGTGGAGCATCCGACTTCGGCTCAGGGCATGATCTCGCGGTCTGTGAGTTCGAGCCCCACATCGGGCTCTGTGCTGACAGCTCAGAGCCCGGAGCGTGGTTCGGATTCTGTGTCTCCCTCTCTCTCTGCCCCTTCCCTGCTCATGCTCTCCCTCTGTCTGTCAGAAATAAACAAACATTTTTTTTTTTTTTTTTTTTTTAAAGACTGGGGCTTTGCCTCCAGGTAAAGGAGTCGCAGTACTAAGGAGCGAGGTGAATGTGGTTTTGACTTCAGTTTTCCACTGAGTGGCTGTGTGACCTTGTGACCTTGGCAAGTTAGTTACCCTCTTCCAAGTTTTGTCATTGGCAAAGTTGGGGTCCAAACTTTATCTGCTTTCCAATGTAGAGATCCAATAGGATAATACGTGTGTGTGTAAGGGTGTGTGTGTGTGTGTGTGTGTGTGTGTGTGTGTAGAGAGAATTTAAATTCTCATCTATTCACTGTTCACCCCATCCACCGATCTTCACCCCTCTCTTTCAGACCAGGCATTCTTCACAAACTCGCAAACACAGATACACCCCAAGGAAAGGAGAGAGGGAGGGAGAGTGAGTGGGAGCAAGACGGGTTTCCCATCAAACAAATACAGACTTTATTTCAGTGTTTCAACCACTTCCCAGACGAGGGAGACCCTCCCTCTATTTTTTGGAGTTTCCCAATTTGCGCGATGTGGTAACTAGCATAATTATGTAGAGAAGGGATGCAGAGTAGATCATACCGCATTCCCATCAATCTGGGTAAATTGCAAATGTCTATAGAAATGGTTTAAAACGAAGAAAAGTCTCAAAAAGAGATCCATCAAGTCACATGAGGGAAATTTGAGGGATGCCAAATCAAAAATGACAATGAAAATTATGTCCTAGAGTCGACAACCAACTTGATGGGTTTATTTCACTACGTTGACAAGATTGACCATTTGTTCATAAAAAAAAAAAAAATGCTACATTGCAAATGTCACGAGAGTCATGGGACCGTTTCCCGAGAGCCATCAAAAGTGGGTAAACAAGGGATGAGCCTCCCTTTTGAATGAGTGAGCAAAGAAGCTGATGACAGCACTAAAAACATAGGATCCTGAATAGCTTCTTTACTTTGCGGAAATGGTCAATGGTGGTGAATTAATGGGTGGGATGGTGAAATCTGAAACGGATAATTTATTGTAGAAGGACAGAGAATGACCAAAGGGTAGGTGTTCTGCTTAGCTAGGCCTGCAGCTAGGTATTTTCAGGAAGCTAAGAAACTAACAGAGCTAAAAGGGTTTGTTTGTTTGTTTGGGCGTTTTGTTTTGTTCTGTTGTACATCTGCTGGAGATCACAATTATTCTAAAATTGTTTCTGCCAGTCTTCCCAAACCAAGGTGTCCTGGAGGGCAAGGATCTACTATAGTGTCCCAGGGTGCAGACCATTTAAATTAAATGCAGAAGCATTTAATAATGATGATGACAAAGATTATGATGGTAGCAATAAGAAGAATAATAGTTACTGCAACTGAAGTGACAGTATTTAATATTTATTCAGCTCTTACTATGTTCCAGATGCATTTCTAAGAAGTATATACAATATATATGCATATATACACACCCATACTCACATTTAATACTTATAAGCTCCCTCAGTATAGGTAATACTAGTTTTCTGGGATTTGCAGAATTTAATTCAATATCTTCATATCTTTTTTTTTTTCTTTTCCTGAGAATACCTAATTCCTTGTCAGTCCATTTTTCCACTACCAAGGGCCATGTTTGTCTAAGTCAGATCATAGCGAGTCTCCCAAGGGAAAGAGAAAGGACCCTGGCAGCAAGATGGCGACACTTCCAGGTGGAATGAGAAGCCAACCTTTTCTGCCCTGAAGACTGAAAGCCAGAATCATTTAATGGGGGGCTGTCCCTGAACGGAGGGACCACAAGCAATTTTCGTCTTTTGTGTGTGTGTGTGTGTGCATATAGTTTTTAAATATCAAACAGTGAACGTGTATTACTTTTAAAATACATAAAAACATTGAAGAAGCATTCTTTTGAAGAAAGAAAGATGCCATAGTCAATGACATGAATTTGACTCAACAGCAAAATACATGATGCCAGGACACATCACGATCTGTGTCGCAAAGGAAAGACAAGGAGTAATGTCATTACAAACACTGGCCAAGACTGACTTGATTTTTCTGTCAAGTTTGAGGCCTGAATTCTCTGAGCCCTGAATATGGTAATAAAAATGAGTTGGGGGAAGAAAAACAGGACCTCTCTAGAAAGGTTAAGAAAGCCGGGATGAAGGAAAATAAGAGAGAGACAACTTATCAACTGAATTCAAGTGTATGAAAATGGTCCTAAAAATGACATTGGCCAGCTGTTCACCATCTCCATTTGGGACAAAACAAGAAAGAAAGAAAGAAAAAAAAAAGTCTCATATCGCAGTGAGAGTTGGTGTTCAACAAGACGACCTTCGTGAAGATAAATGTGATCGACACTGAGAATCGATAGCTCTGTATGCTTAATACTTAAAACTAATACTTACAACTAATGTAAACAGGCAACTCTTTTGGTCTGCATGTGACGGTTTTGCATGGAGCCTGACGCATTACCATCTTGCGATTCTAACCTCGCTCTGGTGGACTTAATCGACTGCATTTGCCTACGAGCTAGGATAGGAGAGCTTCCTGCAGTGCTGTAAGCAAAAGGAAGTTTCTTCCTGGTGTGTTTAAGAGTTAACTCAATTGTGACCACATTACCATGTCACTTATGAAACCCTTGAACAAAACAGTCTCCTCCAAAATGTTCCCTCTGAAAGAAACCTTGTAACAGAAACTATTTTAGAATAATATCGGACCTCTGCTCATGTTTTCTCTCTTGCTGAACTGTATTGAAAACTCGAATTATAATTGGACATGGTGGAATCATTCAACTGGAACCCATTAAATTGATGTTGCCAAAACCATGGTATTCTGGTTTCCTTTTTGGGGGTAAATTAAAAGAATATCCATGTTCCTGAACAAATAAACTCAATAGATCTAGTTTCCTACATTTCATATTTATTTAGTATTTAGTCAACAAATGTTCATTAAACGTATTACCACGGGCCAAATATTTATGTGATATTTCACAATATTTAAAGAATGTTCCTATGTATAATCTTATCTGATCCTTACAGTAATATTGCCAAGCAGGCCCAGAATATTGTCATTTTAATGACTCTGAAACTAAGGTTCAGCAAAGTTAAGTGACTTACTCATGTCTACCCAGCTCATAAGCGTTTAAGACTAAAACTGGGGCCATAAGACTAATCTTTCACATCTTATTTTATTTCACCATTCCATCCTAGACTCTCCATCCTTTATGGGTTTACAGAAGATTTGGTGACATACAAATACGTCCATAAGGCAATGTGAGGTTGCAGGAACCCATATAATCAAAGGCCTAAA